GTGTTCCAGTTTCTCAACAGTTTCTTTAACCACTTGTTCTCTGAACTATAACACAGAGCAGAAGATGGGGGAAAAAACCCATCAGTTCTGATATTGGGAAAAGGCATGAAGATATTAAATAGACCTCACCATCTCTAGTATAATATAAGAACATAATAAACAGCTAATATCTACTGAACAAATGAACAGAAACACAGCAAAAGGTCTATTCTCCTACAGCTAAAATAGGTCCAAAAAAACCCACAAAACTTTCAATTAGTAAATCTCCAACTTCTTTCTGAAGCATAGAGATTTGTTCCTTTCCATTAGAACGAAATGCCCTCTTTTTCTGTTACATCACTGCAAAAGCTGAGAGCTTTCTTTATTGGAACTGATCTAGTTCGGAAATTATTAGCTACCAGAGGCAGCAGCCATCTGCGTTCAGCTTTCTATTCCTCCCACATTCCACACACTGCTGCTAAAACCCTAGTCCCAGAGAACACTCACTGTCTCCAGGTAGCTTGTGAACCAGTCTGGGGGCCTGTCTTGAGGCTGGTCTGCGTCAGATGGAGCAAGCGGAAACTGCTGCAAGAAAACATAATCCAAGATCTTGGAGGTTACTTTTTATTTCTATTTAAAGTAAATTTCCTGAAATGTATTATTTTGTCAAACAAAATATGTGGGTAAAAAAAAAAGAGAGACAGTATGAAGAAGTATAAAAGGAAAACGAAGTCTGTGTCATCCCATTTGCCCCCCGCCCAGAAGTACTGTTACCAGTTTTAAAGTCAGACCGACATGGTCACCATAAGTCCCACTCTTTCTGAAAAAGCTCAAATCTTACACCAGAGAATGAAACAGGTTAGAGAAACTGTAGAGAGAGGTACACTCCCTTCATACCTGTGGTGCAGGTTCCTCTGGGGTCTTCATGTCTGATCCCAAGACTCTCATCAGTGAAGAATAATGTGCAAGTGGCTTTTTCCCTGTCCTCGAAACTGGCGGTTTTTCTGCTAGAATGAAAGGTCCCAGGTTCGATTCCGGTCAAGGGCATGTACCTGGGTTGCGGGCACATCCCCAGTGGGGGATGTGCTGGAGGCAGCTAATCGATGTCTCTCTCTCATCGATGTTTCTGACTCTCTCTCTCTCTCTCTCTCCCTTCCTCTCTGTAAAAAATCAATGGTGGGTAAAAAAAAAAAAAAAAAGAGACAGTATGAAGAAGTGTAAAAGGAAAACGAAGTCTGTGTCACCCTATTTGCCCCCCGCCCAGAAGTACTGTTACCAGTTTTAACAAGTCAGACCGACATGGTCACCATAAGTCCCACTCTTTCTGAAAAGCTCAAATCTTACACCAGAGAATGAAACAGGTTAGAGAAACTGTAGAGAGAGGTACACTCCCTTCATACCTGTGGTGCAGGTTCCTCTGGGGTCTTCATGTCTGATCCCAAGACTCTCATCAGTGAAGAATAATGTGCAAGTGGCTTTTTCCCTGTCCTCGAAACTGGCGGTTTTTCTGCTAGAACTGGGGGTGGAGCTTCATCAACGACACGGCAGCCTTCATGGACTTGCATCTGAAGTTGGTTTCCCTGCTTAACTGCCATCTGAGAGCACAGGTTTGAAATAAAAACATTGTGTGATTCTCCTCTCCCAAAGGAAAATTCAAAGACACTCAAACAGAAGAGGTGTGGTGAGTTATGTTGGAAAATGTTTGTTTAATGAAGTCAAATGACATACATGTCAGCCTGCTGTTTCTTTGTCAAGAATGTTAACTAGGAATGGTTTTGTTTTTAAAAACACAGAAGTAGGTTTTCAGTGCAGCACTTTATTAGCTGTTTTCATTAACTGGGTTACTATTTTCTGTGTAATTGGTTTTTATGTAAGTCTTCATTTATGGATTTTCATCTCAACTTTTCAAAAAGTCAATCCCAGACTACCAGAACCCGAGAGAAACTTAAAGTTATGCCCCACAGGTATTTATTTCCCCACTAAGAATAGTACTTTGGAAAGCATGTTTATGTGGTCGCCTCTTTTTGAAGACCATCTTCTTAAAAATCCTATTTTGAAAACTACTTCAAAGAGCATGTGAGGTTCCAGGAAGGTACTCCAATGTCCCAGAGATTAAGAAGTCAAGTCCATGGGGTTTTAACTTCTCCCACTTGTCACTCAGTGACAAGCTATGGATTTTACACATAAAACTTTTCAAGATTTCATTTTAATAAATCATTTCATGGTCAATAAGTTTGAAAGATATTATTTAAATCAGAGATCAGCAAACTTTTTAAAGGGCCACATAATAAGTATTTTAGGTTTACAGACCAACTTACTGTCTCAACTACTCAAATCTGTTATAGCACAAAAGCAGCCACAGACAATAGTGAATGGACATGGCTGTGTTCCAGCAAAACATCATAAAAACATATAGCCAGCCCACTAGGTACAGTTTGCCAACTCCTATTTTAGACCATAAATCAACAAGCTTTTAAGTAGAATGTGTGGTAGAGCCTGTACATAAAATTACTCAAGGAAACATGTCTAAATATAAACATGGAATCTTAATTAAGTATTAAATAGTATTATCATATACTAGAGGCCCAGTGCACGAAATTGGTGCACAGGTAGGGTCCCTAGGCCTGGCCGGCGATCAGGGCTGATCTGTGGGGCAACTGGCAGGGTGATGGGGGGGAGCCCACTGGCACCCACCTTGGCTGGCCTGGGGGCAGCTCCTGCGTTGAGTGTCTGCCCCCTGGTGGTCAGTGCATGTCATAGCGAACCATCATTCTGCCGTTTGGTCAATTTGCATATTAGGCTTTTATTACATAGGATATATATATACACACATATACACACATATGTATACAGTCTTGGCTTATATAAACTCTAGACTACTGAGATCCAAGATTCCTGACTAACTAGGTAAACTAATAGTGACTGCGGGAAATGTATTAGTTTGTAAGAGCTAAGAAGACTTTTCTAG